GCTCGGGGGTGCTGCTGTCACAGATCCTGAGTGTACCTCTGACGACATAGCTGCGGATTCTGTATGCTCTGTTTACCCGTCATGGGGTTCCCAGCGAGATTCGTGGCTCAGTGGTCGTGCCCCACTACCCCTTCATTTGCTTTAGTTATGTGCTTTCTTCTTTCTTTACGGCTTCATACAAGCTTCAGTGGGATAACTAGGCATCGAGTGTTTATTCACGCATGTAATCTAGCTCTCTTTATCTTGTTAAATTTGTGTCTGCATACTGGTCACTTACTTTTGTAGCCGACCAGCATTTTTTACCTCACCACAGAGGATAAACCCTTCTTCGTTTAGACCTGTTTTTTATATCATCGCTTTTGGTCACACAATCTACTAATAAATATTACAAACTTCCCTAGGAAACAATCAAACAAAATTCTCACAATTGTGACTTTTGACACGGTATGGGGGTGTTTACAGTGTCCGTCCTTGGCTCTGGAACGCCGGCATGGCTGCATTACTCTGTAAAAACCAACCCATGCTATCCTCAGGATGTATGGTGCATTTTTGGCACTTACTGATCCGCTTTGGTGGTTCACGAGCCTTGTGACACGTGTTTTGTCTATTCTCACTCTGGTCCCTTTCTTTTTCTCCACACACAAATTAAAAACTAGCAAAAACGATAATCCAGGGATTAGGGTGAGACATCGTGACAAGCTATGTCTCACGCAGTGCATGCAAGGCGCCGTGTGCAGTAGACCATGGCTGTGCCGAAGTGGGTCCTTGCCCAAACGGCAGGAAGAAAAGAATCGCCACAGCGCGCGTGCGCTGGATGAAAGGGGTATGTCAATTTGGTCAAAATTACGCGTGCGTGCAGGCCGATTGTAATGGCACGGCTGGGTAAAATCCCACGTGATCCACGTCCATACATAAAGCCTCAGCCTCAAAACTCCGAGTAAATGACTTGCTAGACCTTCAAAACACACCAATATTTGCCTATGAGCCCAATAACCCTCAGTTCTCTACGCGAGAATGCGCTTACCTGCGATTTAACCATTTTCGTGTCATCATCATTGGTCGAGGGGAACGAGCCAACCTCTATTGTTTTTTTCGGGTGGAATTTTCCCCTCTCTACCTATATAGGAAAAGGTACCATTTGGCGCAAATATATATCGTCCGCTATGCGCGTAAAGCAAACAACTCGATGGTTTTGGCAAATGTGGCTTATAACACAGTAAACTAGCGAAATTTTGGGTTTCAAATGTGGCTACTCTCTTGAATACTGCCGGTTATGCTACTTCATTCTCAGAGTTCTGTGTTTTTTCGACCGAAACATGCAAAACACAATTATGTGCACATACAAAGGTAGCATGCCAATTTAGAACGTGAACATAGCCTGACTGGACAAGGTGGAAACAAACTGAGATCGTACAGATTATTCAAGAAAGAGTTTGGCATGGAGCCCTATCTCTTGAATATAACTTCAGCAGCACTCCGAGTATCTAAGAGTTGGATGTCACAGTCTGGAAATTGAACGTGGGAGGTATATACCATAAACCAAGGTCAGTCCCAGTGAGCCAGAGGTTGTGTCGCAAATGCAAATCTATAGAGGACGAGAAGCATTTCCTAGTGAATGTTCAAAGTATGAAACCTGCGTAACAATCTGGAACAAGTCCTATGTTTCCTGGAATAAGTGACTAGCAGAAATTCGTGTACTTACTAGGATCTGCGACGAGCCAACTTAGTCGTCGCAACGGGTCGTCGTGTAAGTGCACATGCGCGGCTTCGTTACGCGCTTCTTTTTATCCAAAATCATTTCCTATAATTATACACACACACGCTGCCTCGCAGTATGCGGCCATCGATCTAGAACGACAGGGAGGCTCGTCTTTTTCAGGGGCGATTAAGTTTATCCTACTACTTACCAGCAGTGCCCCCACGGATGACACAGGACACCCAAGTAAATGCTCAAAGAAAGTATCTAATTGACCTGTGTATTAGTAGCGGAATGAGGATAGTTAATGGACGGCATAACGGAGACCCTGAGGGACGTTTCACATGCTATACTCCCAGAGGGTGCAGTGTAGTGGACTACGTTGTTGTGTCAGCTGAGTTATATGACAGAGTTGTTGAGTTTTCTGTTGTACTTACACTGACCGCTGTCCATTACACCTGGCTGTGAATTCATCGACAAATAAAGTAGGAAACTCTGATAAACAACACATACATGCAGCACCTCTGCACCCCTTGGTGAAGCCCATGCACTGGAATGAACAGTCTCGTGTGTTCTTCAATCAGGCTGTAGAGAGTAGTAATACAAGAATCCAGGAGTTACAAAGTAAACAAGTATTGACACACCAGAATGTCTTGCATAAGCCTTTCAAGAAATATTATTAATGAACCCGAGGGCCTCCGCGTTGTCATTTGGGGCGAGAAAACATCACCATTTCAAATGTGAGGGAACATACCTTGAGAATGTAGATCCATACAAGTATCTGGGGGTTTGGATATCCAAAAATGGAAAGTTCAATAAGGCTAAAAACCATATCAACCTACAAGCCAAGAAAGTTTGTCTTTATACTCTTAAACGAACTCTTATCAAACTAGTAATTCTATTATCAAACCACTTCTATGGATGTGAAACTTGGGGGTTCAAGAATGACATTGTAATTGAATTACAGTTTATATTTTAGATTTTTCAGTGTTTATTCTGAGGTTCCATTGACTGCAAAACTCTTAAAGGGTGTCAATTTGCTTATTAGTCCATCTGCACTAGCTGAGAGGAGAATGATGTCGTTAGCAAACATCAGGGTATCTAGTGTTGTTCCCCCCGGGTACACCTGCCTCATTCTTTGCCAATTCAACTTCTAGTTCACTGATGAATAGGTTGCGTAATAGTTACTACCTTGTCGGACACCTTTTTGCCACTTGAACACACCTGTTGCCATGGAGGAGTCAGTGGTCAGTGTAAGTACAACAGAAAACTCAACAACTCTGTCATATAACTCAGCTGACACAACAACGTAGTCCACTACACTGCACCCTCTGGGAGTATAGCATGTGAAACGTCCCTCAGGGTCTCCGTTATGCCGTCCATTAACTATCCTCATTCCGCTACTAATACACAGGTCAATTAGGTACTTTCTTTGAGCATTTACTTGGGTGTCCTGTGTCATCCGTGGGGGCACTTTGCTGTCTGCTGGTAAGTAGCAGGATAACTCAATCGCCCCTGAAAAATGCGAGCCTCTCTGTCGTGAGGACTTTCGACGGCCGGGCATATATAGATAGAAAATTCGAGCCGAAGACCCGATTAGGTGGGCTCACTCCGCTCGCCCATATTTTTAATGACAAAGAAGAGCCAGGGAGGCTATTAGTCAACCTATAATTGGCGAGCGGGAGCGAGCCGTTCGTTCGAGCGGAATTTTATGTGTATAATATGCGTTCGTACGTCGTGTAAGTGCGCATGCGCGTTTTTGTACGCGCTTCTTTTTATCCGAAATTATTTCAACTCTCCTCCATTCGACGGACGGTGACTGTATATACCTCTTCCCAATCTTCATGGTTCCAAGGTGCAACTTGCATAATACGCTAGGATTGCTCGTGCACATACTGCTGCATGCCAGTTGCCAGGTGGACCGAGCTGAAGTGTAAGGTAAGTACCGTTCTGCTCACCTGCTTACCGTTCTGGCAATATACAGTACGCATGTAACGGCGACAGGTAGATCTGTCTTGCTTCACGAAAAGAAAGCTGTGCGCTGACGGCACGTTATGCAGCCCGAACATCGCGGTCAAATCCCAAGTTGGGTCGCTCCCGCTCGCCAACAATGTTCAACATTTCCACTAGTATGAAAGCGGTATGAATATAATTGGCGAGCGGGAGCGAGCTAACCTAGTGGTACGAACGGCGCGGATTATTTATCTACGAACGACCGTACGTCGTCCAACTGCGCATGCTCCAGGATTACGCGCTTCTTTTTATCCGAAAGGATTTCTAAATTTCACATGCACCTGCCTGTGATGATGTCGTGCGTGCATATAGTCCGGGGAAGATGCCCTTCGTCGTCGAAGAGAGAGGTAAAGAGAACATCGTGCCCGTGAGACTCTTGAGCAGAGAGGCTCGTTAGTATCAGCGAGGGAACGCGCAAATCTTTACACGCTGCCCTAGCTGTCATATCGATGCGAAATATAGCCAGCCAAAGAACTCTCGTCTATTTGCTGGCATTCGCTGCGCTCTTCGATACCTGACCGAGGCTGTCTATACATCCTTCCATCTAAGGTTCAAGTTGTAGGATTGCTCGTGCAGATAGAGTCATTGTGTACTCGCTCCCGCTCGCCAAAAATGCCATGCATTCGCCTACTAGTAATATTCCCCAAGCCATTCGTAGAATGTTTTATTTACTTGTCTCCTCTCAGTTTTATATACACTTGGAAGTGACCCAGACCTCCTGCCACTGCGACGGACAGTAGGCCAAAGGAAGAGTCGTCACAGAGAAGGACGGGTAGCCAAGGGCTGTCTAGTACACCTCACGCCCCGAGGAAGAAGAGGTCGGTTCTGGAGCTCCTGCCTGGCGGAGTAGTAAGGTCGACCTCTAGTCTCCTGCTGCCGTCTACACATCAACTGCAGAAACACTCCTACATTGACTCAGGTCTGGCTTATGTTGGTCCAAAATTTATACCATAGGTGAACTGCATGTACAGTGCACGCAATGCAACACAACCAAGAACAAAGTTCTAGTTTCTTTCATGCTAATTCTGTTTTTTTAGATCTACTATTGGAGAGTACAGTGGGTCCCACTCAATATCATACCGTTTAATTGTTTATAATCATACAAACCTGAAATCCAAAACCATTTCCTATGCTCTCCCATACAATATGATGTGACACCTGGACCCAGCGGCCACAACTGTACAAGTCCTGTTAGACTTCTTGTCTGTGTTTATACAATGGGGTAGCCTCACTGACCATGTTCACATACCATTGCTGTAATTAGGTAGAACGACACCTAATGCCGTGACTATAAATTGGGTGTGTATAAAGAGTTAGAATGAGTATTCGGCATAAGATAAGATTTCTGTCAAGAGTGAAGCTCTGTTCTCCTCCATGGTGTGGGGGTATTTGGGGCAATAGATTCTGTGATGGGAGCATCCCAGCTGCTAGCATTTGTGGTGCGTAGCCAGGGGTGACCACTGCTGGGGTCACAACAGAAGTTACCGTCGTTGGTGGCATCGCAATGTCAGTAGTCGGACTTGGAGCAGAAGTCCAAGGAAACACTGGGAGCACTCTGATGTTATTTGCCCCTACGGTTAGTCACTCGGCAATTCAGATAGCTGACGGAGTCATCGAGTGTGGCGATGGAGGGTGTACTACCCTCGTAATTGAGAATCATGGCACCGAGAAATTGATATTCAAGAGAAGGATGGTATTAGGGACTGTTTGTCCAGTGGATGAAGTAGAAACTCCGGCTGCCGGCATCAACTCAGGAGACAAAATTAGCTCTAATACGCAAGAGACCACTACTAGAAGAGAACTGCCTGCCACTATTGCAGAAGAGTCAGTCTGCCCGAGAAAGGAGAAGGGACAAGATCACGAGAGAGATGGAGTCGAGAGATCCGGTCCGCCTGGAGAGGTGGAAGAAATACCGCAAGAGCAACTGTTGGTGGCATGGACTTGCTGCAAGAAGAACTGGTAGATTCCGCCAGAACCACGGAGCTAAGAAATGAACATAGAAGCCCCACCGCCAAAGATGAATCTACGGTGTGCCAGACTCGGAGAGATAGAACTACACAGCTATTGGAGCAGTTTGAACTGGGCGGCGAATACCTCACTCCAACTGGGGAGGCCCAACTTCGAACACTGCTCAAGGCATATTCAGATGTCTTTGCGCTCGACTCCAGTGAACTCGGCACCTCTTCCATTATGCAGCATTCCATCAATACAGGAGACCACCCTCCAATCCGGCAGCCCCTTAGGCGGATGCCCTTTACTTTGCGACCACAAGTGGACAAGCTGGTGCAGGAGATGTTGACCCAGGGAATAATTCAGCCATCCTCCAGTCCATGGGCCAGCCCCGTGGTCCCTGTCAAAAAAAGGGATGGAACCATGCGATTTTGCGTGGATTATAGACGCCTGAACAGTGTTACCAAACTTGACGAATTCCCATTACCACGCATCGATGATACTCTTGACGTTCTTGCTGGAGCGAAGTATTTTACAGCACTGGACATGGCATCGGGGTACTGGCAGGTGGAAATGGAGCCTACTTCAATAGAGAAGACTGCTTTCATCACGTATGCCGGTCTGTACGAGTTCAGACGTATGCCATTTGGCTTGGTCAATGCACCCGCAACCTTTCAGAGGCTAATGGAGCTAGTCCTGGCTGGATTGGCGCGAAGCTGTTGTCTGGTATACCTGGATGATGTGCTTGTTATCGGCTCCACCATTGAGGAACATAACCACAACCTGGAGAGAGTCCTAGAGCGCGTTCGCAAGGTGGGACTACGCCTAAACCCAAAGAAATGCAAGTTTGGACAGCCTTCTGTTCTTTATCTCGGACATGTTGTTTCGGAACATGGAGTAAAGACTGATCCACAGAAGTTGAAGGCAGTACAAGGTTATCCTGTACCACGGGATGTGAAAGCTTTGCATTCGTTCCTTGGCCTCGCCTCTTACTATCGGCGATTTGTCCCGGCATTCTCGAGCGTGGCAGGACCCCTCCATGCTCTGGTTCCAGGAGGCACACAGTGGCCGGTTTGGGGCTCAGTTGGGACACAGGAAGATGCACAGTCAATTCCTGAAATCATTGTGGAGTAGTATGCGGGGCGGATATCACAAGATGGTGCGTTGCCTGCCTGGTATGTGCAACCTACCTTTG